CATGGGTGGACAATTGTGGACGTCCAAATTTGAATTCAAATTTGAATTTGAATTCAAATTTAGAGCCAACTTGAGCCTTTGGAGTTGGCGCCTCTTATTTTTGGTCTGTGGCCTATATATACCTATTTCCTTCCTTGTGTATTCACTTTTGATCATTATATGAGATTTCTGAAAATTATTCAGCTACTCTCTCCCTTCAAAGTCACTCTTGGCCGAATTGTTCTTAGACTCACTCTAGGATCAAGCCAATTTTGTGAGCAATCCTTTGCTCACTTTGCATGGGTGCTTCCTTCTCCATCTTCATCCGCTTCAATTCATTTTTACTTGGCTGGATTTTTGTCTAGTCTTCCTCAAAGAAGTGATCAAGTGGCCATGCAAGTCAAGGAGTGAAGAACATTAATCATTTTCACTTGGAGTTGCCATCAGGTATACATGTCATGAGTCTTAATTGATGAATATGATGTATTTGTTATTGATGGAATAATGGTGATAAATGCAATGTAATATGTTAACTTGTTATTAATATTGTATAAGAGGAATTGATGAAAAAGTATGTATATGATGTAATTGTTGTATGAATTGTGTGTGTGACTATCCTTATGCTTTGTATATGTTTTGATGGATGTCATCTATTCTTACTTCCTGTGTTTGTAAGTTAGTGTTTAGGTTGAATGTCAATTGTAGGAATAGAGCATGTATAAGATGATAGGTTTAAAGAAGGAAAACAATAAAGAAAGATATTGCTATGATAGTCTGACATCAAGGCTGAGTTTTAGGATAAATGATTGATAACTTTAAGTTGGATTTCTTCTTAAGTTTGTTTTATTGTCATAACTTATTTGATTTAAGAGGTTGTTCTTAGTTTTGATTAATCAATGTTTAATAATTTTTCTATGGTTTAAACAATGGTTATGGATGTTGTGGAAGAAAATATGCACAAATGTTTTGATGATGCCAAAGTGATTATAAAGCATTGAAGAAAAATCAAGGTTGAGCTAAAGCAAGTTGATGCAAGAACAAGATCTCAAGTGTTACATAGATAAGTCTTGTCAACTTAGCTAAGAATATAAAAGAATCTTTTAGAATTTCAAGTATGATTGGCCTTGAGAATAAGTTTTCAAAAACCTCAAATTAATCTCTTTAAATTTAAACAAGTTTTAAATCTTTTGAAAGTAAGTAAAAATGTTTTTGAAAAACTTAACAAAAGCTTTAAAGAACAATTCAAATAATTTCTTAAAAGAGATTTGTGAAAGAAATTATTGATATGAAGTTTTCTACATAAAAGTTTTTGAAACAATGAAAAAATATGTTATGGTAATCCATTACCAGACCCTGTAATCCATTATCAGAACAAGGAAACTTCAAAGTTCATATTCTGAATACAAAATGTGTTCTGGTAATCGATTACCAGACCTTGTAATCTATTACCAGAAGATGAAACTTTAAAATTTGAATTTAAATGATACAACATTTCAAACATTTTGAACTTATAAACCGTTGTAATCGATTACCAGAGTATCTTTTCTGAAAAATTATAAAGAGTTACAACTCTTCATGAAAAGACACAACCCAAGAAATAATTGTCTATAAATACCTATAATTTTTCAGAAGAAGGTTACGAACTCAAATGTAAATCTATTAAAAAAAACTCCTTGGCCAAAGTCATTTGCAAAAATCTCTAAAGAGTTCTTTAAGATCATCAAAGTATAAAATCTACTCCTCAAAGAGAGTTACTACATTATACTCAATTGATCATTTGATCTATAAAGGAGAAAGGGTTTTTTTCCTTGTTGGTTTTTGAATCTCAACACAAGGAAAGGGAGTTCCAAGTTGGAGGATTGAAATCTTGTAAGAGTTACAAGAATAATGGAAATCTCAAGTGGGAGACTTGAGGAATGGATGTAGGTAGGAATTGGCCGAACCAGTATAAATTGAGTTTGCAATTCTTCTTTTCCTACACTTTTTAATTACTTGTTATTAATTGTGATTGAGTAGTTTGCATTATCATTCATTATTTACATATAAATTTATCTAAGATATTGAATTTGTAAGAAAGTAATTCAGAAAAGTTTTATAAGAGAAAAGTTTGGAAAACTTAATTCACCCCCCCCTCCTCTTAAGTTATACGAGGCTATTTGACTAACAGATGTGAATCCTTTTACAAGTTTTATGAGGGGAGTTATTATAAACATTTTATTTTCCCAAAACTTTGTTATATTTTATTTATTAAATCCTTTGGGGTGGAAGGGTGTCACATACCCTTTGAAATTATCTTCAAAAGATATACCTAGCTTTAGTACTCAAAAGATATACCTTTTGAGTAACATATTTTTATAAAGAAGTATTTTTAAAAAGCATAACAATTCAACCTTCCTTCTTGTATGCTAACATTCACTTCAGTGTGGTGTTGATTAAGTTGTTTGTATAATTTGTTTATAACTTCTATACTGTATATGTTGATTTTTTGATTGCAAGATTACCCTTACATTTTCCTTATTGTTGGACTACAATGATCATATTATTATGGGAGTAAGAAAGGATTAGGCTAAAGGGCTAGCTGCCTGAGTGTCATGTTAGAGATGACGCTGTTTTATTAGAATCTACTCTGATGTAGCTTATTTAGAGTATATGCTTGACCGACATTAGGATTATGTTTTTAATATTATACTAGACGTATAATGTATATATATACATGTATTTGTTATAACCCTTAAGAAGCTTTATGTTTTCAAGTTATATTGACAGGAGTATTTTTATGGTTTTTATACCCTATACATATATTTTTGTTGCACGTATATGCAAGTACTGATGAATGACAACCTTAGTGTAGTTAAATTAATTATTTATTTCTATTACTTAGATGTTGAGTTATAAATGTAGTAACCCGTTGAGTCATTACAATATACAGTATCAGTAATTTTGTTACTTTTATTAACTCTTTTTCTCTCCTTTCATTGCAAAGGTTTAATAACAATATTATGTAAAGCTAAATTTATTTATTTTTAGTTAGTAAAAATTGAGCTTAGTATCAATATTAAAAAATTTAAAATAAAAATGTATTAATCTGCATATAGCTCAATTGCTATTTTACATTTAGAAAGTTGTTTTGGCATATAACTATAGTAGATTTTAAAATTTAGCATGTTTTAAGAACAACGACACTTAACAAACCCATTTTTGCCTTAATAAATTGTTAAGCAATAATAAATCAAAATTACACAATTGTAATAAAAAAATAAATATCATGCAAAAGCAAATAAATAAGTATAAAGAAAAGAAATAGAACACACCATAAATTTTATATGAAAAATTTTCTTGATATGAGTAAGAAAAAAATTACAGGACCTACTCCAGTAAAAAGTATTCACTATAAAAATATAATTACAATATTTTATTTCTCGTTCTCAAGTAAACCTCTAAACAATTTCACCCCTTCTAAATATGTATGATGAACTAATTATATACATTAAAAAAAATATACTCTACCAAAAGTCATTAACTCAAGTGGTTTAATAGTTGTGCTAATCATCGAGGTACTTACAATTTCACTCTTAGACATAGAATCGTAATAAAATATCACAAATATTTACCTCTATCATGGTTAACCTAATGGAAAAGAGTTGTAACTACTTATCGAAAATAAACTATACTATACCCATGATTAAATATTATTTCTAAAATTAACTATAAAAGCAAGAAACTTGTAAATATAAATATAAACTTAAAATGACTAATTAGTAAATTATAAATATATATTTTGGACATTAAAAATTATTAATTATAAAAACATTGCAATAAATAAAGAAAATAAAAAAAAATTTAATTAAATAAATTATAAGTTATAAAAAAAAAGAGAATTCAAAATAAATTATAAATTTTTAAGAAACAAAAATTTTATTAAATAGATTATAAATTATTGTAGAATTCTAAATAAATTATAAATTCTGCAAGAAACAGAAATTTAATTAAATAAATTATAAACTATTATCGAGAAGAGAGTTCTAAATAAATTATATAAAATTTGGTTTGTTAGAAACAGAAATTTAATTTAATTAATTATAAATTATTTTTGAAAATAGAATTTTAAATAAATAATAAATTTTGCGAGAAACAGAAATTTAATGAAATAAATTGTAAATTATTTTGAATAAGAGAATTCTAAATGAATTATGTAAATTATGTCAGAGACAAAATTTAATTAAATTAATTATAAATTATTCTTAAGAAGAGAATTATAAATAAGTTATAAATTTGCAAGAAAAAATAATTTAATTAAATAAATTATAATTTATTCTCAAGAATAAAAGTATAAATAAATTATTATATGAATTCTGTAAGAAACAAAAATTTCATTAAATTAATTATAAATTATTCTCCAGAAATAATTCCAAATAAATTATGAATGAATTCTGCATGAAAAACAAATTTAATTAAATAATTATAAACTATTGTCAATATGAGAATTCTAAATATATTAGGTAAATTCTGCAAGAAATTGAAATTTAATTAAATAAATTATATATTATTCTTAAAAGAGAATTATAAATAAATTCTATAACTTCTGCAAGAAAAAGAAATTTAATTTAATTAATTATAAATTATTATTAAATAAATTCGAAATAAATTATAAATTCTGACTTGGTAATTTGATTCATAAATCGTCATGCAGAATCGTAAAAAAGATAATTAAAAATTTTCAATGTCAAATTATCATCGAAAAATATCTAAAGGAAAACAGATTGAGATTTCGAAAAGAATGCGAACCTCTCATTTACTAAATCCATGTTCACATTTATGAACCTAAATAGATATCAAAGAAGTAGAAATAAAGAATGTTAAACTCATAATGTGTTTTCCCCCATCGAATATTTAAAGGAACTCTCTAAATTAAAAGAAATGGAAAAGACAAGGTATTTTACCATAAGACCTAAAAAAAAGGTGATAAAGAAAGCAACATATAAAATCAAGAACCATAAAAAGAAGTGAAGTTGAGAGAAATTTATCATCATATATACTCAAATACAAGGAATCATGGAAAAAATTCAATCATAATGTTACAGTTGTTTTCTCGTCAGATGATAGATATAGAAAGAAAAATGATAAATAAGAAAATAAGGTTTAAGAAAAAGAGAAACAAAAATGTGAAACAAAACAAAAATTGATATTGAAATAATAGAGAAAGAACCTAATAGAAATGCAGAACCATCACAAAAATCTCTAATTATAAAAAATAAAAATAAAGAGAGAGAGAGAGAACTAAAGGTATTTTTCAAAACCATAAAAAAAAACAGAGAAAGAAAGCAAAATATAAATTGAAGAACCACAGAAAAGAGGTAGAGAAATTTATCATCGATCAGAGACTTAAATAAAGAATCATATATACAAGAAACTTATCATCAGAAATTCAAGAACCATATCATTGCAACTTTTTTCACAATAGAATGGAAGCGAAACTAAAGAAGAAAATAAGAATTAATTTCAAAAAAGAGAAAAAAGAGAAAAAAGAACCTGAGAGAATGGAAGTTGGTGCTGATGAAGAAAACTAGAGAGATATGTATTTATAAAGAAGCACAGTTAGGTAGAGACCACACAGTTAAATATTTCGTAATTCAAATTACCAATTACTAGTTAAAATTAAAAACTACCTTTGTATATAATTTTAAAATAATTATTAAAACATAATTTTAATTATATAGTATTTTATGATCGAAAGACCTTGACCAGTCAAACTTTAGTTTAAAAACTGAAAACTGAATTTTAAAAAGATTTAAAGACTACAAACTTTAAATAAAAAATAAAAAAACTAATTTACACTATATTTTCGAGCCAGAAAACACTAGTCACACAAAGCATTATTTGAACTAACACACACGATCGATCAATCAGGTGCAAACTTCTCATTAGTAAAAATAAATGTAACCAAGTCAAGCTGATATTATTTCTAGGGCTAAGGATATGGTTGAATCATTTTAATTAGTTGTTTCAACACTTAATAATTGATTTAGTAAGAAGTATAACTGTGAATTATGACAAGAGCAAGTAAAGAGCAATTGACATTGTGTAACATCTAAGATTTTCTGAAATAAAATAAGTTGTTTTTAATAAAAAAATTATATTATGAGTTTTATTAATTAATTATATTTATAATATAAATAATATTTTTATTGAAAAAATAAAATAAGAAGGGGTGAGAAAAGAAAGAAAAAAGATTTTAAAAAAGAAGCAAGGGTTATATTTTTTTTACGCATCCTTCTGATATCCTAAGAGTAATTATAGAGGAGAGCCTAGATAGGAATGACAAAACGAATTAGTGCAATCTGTTTAGACCCATTGTTAGTCCACCAAAAATGGGTCAAATTAGGTTGACCTGCTAGAAGAAAATGAATCGGAGACCTTGGCTTACACCATCTAAAAGTGGGTTGGCGGGTCAATCCGTAAAAAAAATAAAAATAAAAACAAAAAATAAAAAGGAAAAAAGAAAAAAATTGCATACTTATTTTGAATTACTCTTCTAGCTTATTTTTCTCAATAGTTAAAGGACCTACATAAATCAATGTACCTAAATAATAATAAAAAAATTAAATTATAATTAATTTAATTTAATTTATTGTATAACAAATATCAAATTATATATAATAAAATAAATCAAATATACAACAAATTTATTACACAAAAAATCACATATTACACACAAAATAAATATGAAGTGACTTAATTAAACCTACATTAAAAATAATAAATAAATAAAAATATTAAAAAAAATTACGCGGACTAATGGGTTAGCTCAACTTGGCCTGACAAGTTGGGCGTGACCAATATCACGTGAGCGAATTAGCTCCAAAGGGATCCCTGAGTCCTCAATGTTGGGCGTGAAGGCATCCATGTCGGGCACAAATCAAGAAAAGAGGTCCCAAACCTCTTCATGTTGGGCGTGGATTTGGTAGAGATTTGAGATCTCTAGGCATTAGACGCAAGTTTGACCTTGTCAGGCACCATGCCATTTTTATAATTAACTATGTTTGTAAAATAAATTGGTTATGAAAGAGCTAGTGAAAAGTGATTAGTGTTAGAACTAAAAGAAGAAAATAAAAAAAGTTGAATATGTGATGAAAACATATGAAAAGGGAAAACTACGAAAGGGTTATAAGTGTGAGAGGGTAAGAAAATGATATAACATTATGCATGTGGATGATGAACATTTATATAGATGGATATGCATGCTTGATGATGATGTGTATGTTGTGATGCATATTATGATAAGTTGTTATGAGATGAGGTGGTGATGTGTTGAGCATGTAAGTCTAGTTGTAACTAACATTGATGAGATCCAAGCGAAGCTTGGTGTGTGGTGGATAAGTCCAAGGTTGCGATTTTCCAAGTATCACCTAATAGTCATTACATATGTAGTGTTGTATTGTTGTTGTTTGTGGAGTCCATGCATACATGTTTTGTTGTAAAGTAATGTAAGTGTATGTAGGAAGGTCTCGAAGGTCATTTACCTAGATCTTTAGAGTGTTATGGTAGATAGCCTTTAACATGCGATATAAGGTGATTGTGGTCAACTATAACACTTCAACAAGATCTTGATAGACGTCTTCTAGTTGAGGATGGATGGGGGATCACACCTATGGAAGGGTAGTCTCATTCCATGGATTATAGGCTATCATGATTTGGCGATGATGAGACGATTAGTATCATGTGCATATGAATCAGTTACATGCATTTGCACGAACATTATTTATAAATAAATTATCTTGAATGGAATGAATGGTTGTAGTTGATCATGAGTATATGTGATATGTATGGTGTTTGAATACGAATATACTTGTATGGATCATGTTTAAAGTCATTGTATATTTTCTTATTATCCCATGTCTTGTATGTGCTATACATGGATGAGATATATTCTCACTCTCTATATACATGTATGTTTAGGTTGTTTGCTACTTCTAGAGTTAGACCAAGTACAAGAGGAGGAGTTTGAGAGGGGTTAAGCTTATGACCAACAACGGATGCACATACCCCCACTAACTTTTCAATTTTTTTCTTTTTAATATATATGATATTATATTATTTTTATTTAAAATCTAAAAATAGAAACAAAAAATTAAAAAATTATAACTGAATTTGAGTCTTGTTACAATTATTTTTGTTTGAGAAGAAATATTTTTAAAAAATATTTTAATATGTTATAAAAATTAACAACAAATTACATGTTTTAGAAGAAAAAAAATTGTTATGCATATAAATTATAAATCAAGATAAAAAAATTATAAATTAATAATATATGTATTTTAAGTAAAAATAATAATAAGTTGTTATTAACCTCTTTTTGGATATTTTATATCTTTTTTCTATTTTCTTTTTTCTTTTTCCAATTCTATTCATGTTTTAAGATTCTCCTCTACCTCTAACATATTTTAAAGTGTAAAAGAGTGAAATTGGAAAAAAAAAAAAAAAACAAACTTCTTCCATTTCTACTCCTTCATGTTTCAATAGTTAAAGTGATCTTTGAGGTTAGTGTATTTAAAGTTATTATTTTTATATTACTTTATTTGAATTATATTTTTATTTTCAATGAGAAATTCAATATTTTAATTTTTATTTACTCATTCTATTTTTATGTTTAGAATAAACATTATATGTTATGAACATTACATTAATTAAAATTATATTTTCAAGTTAAATTATTTTTTCAAGTGATTGATTAACAACTTCAAGAGTTAAACAACCATTTCACATAAATAAATACTGAGTTGCTTCTTTGTCTAGCATGTTTAAATCCAAGAGATTCATTTTCTACATTTGACAAGGATAAGTTGATTCATTTTGCTCAATTTTATTCTTCTGAATTTTCTTCAGTTGAACTTTTGACATTATATAACTAACTTGAAAATTATTTCATAGATGTATATTTTAACAGTGTTTTTTATAAATAGAAGGGATTGGTAATCTTTTTATGAAGTTTGTGGAGACAAGAAAACATGTTGTATATCCATTGGTATATTTGCTTTTAGAGCTAACCTTGATACTATCAATGGCAATTGCATCAGTTGAAAGAGTTTTTTCTACTATGAATATCATCAAGAATCGGATGCGAAATCGTATGTAAGACGAATGGTTAAATAATTGTTTAATTACTTATACAGAGAGAGGTTTTTGATAGTATTGAAAATGAGCAAATCATTCAATATTTTTTAAACTATGAAAATTTGTAGAGAATAATTATGATATGTATTTGTTTTATAGAAATTTTATTTTATATTTTAACAAATTTATGTCTTTAAATATTGCCCCCACTACTTAAATTTTCTGGATCCGTCACTGCTTATGACACTTTTCTATCCCAAATAATTAACTAAAAAAATATTAATCTATCATCATCAATTTTGTAAAACAATAATAAATTTGTTTAAAATGATACCTTGAAAAAGGGTTCACAATATTATTCTAATTTTAGTAAATGAAGAAAATATAGAAAATAATGTTTGACTCAAAGCAATACAAAACGATCTAATTTAATAAAATTTTGACATGAAAACATTAAAAATAAAAAAACTTAACAATCTCAAATAATTACTAACACTAAAACTTTGTCTCGATGTCACACTATTAGAACAAAACCTCTCTATGCCCCCCTCTCATCCAACATATCTTCTTGTACCTATTTTAGTCAAGCAAGTAGCATCAACCCAAACACAAATATACAAACATAAGGTGTGGGAATACATTTCATCCATACATAGCATATATATAAGACATAAAGGTACACACACACATCTATAACATCAATCACGTGTGACACACGTATAAGTATTCTTCCATATGTCTACAATAATCATCTCTATACATTCATTCCTTATTCATGACCAGCAATGCACACAAGATATATCAATTATAAATTAAGACTCATGCAATGAATGATTCTAAGTCTATATGCATGTGGTATCAATCTTTTCATCATCATTGAAAATACAAAATAACCTAGGAGTCATAGAAAAAGAGCACCCCATTGAATAGTATAGGGGCCACCCATCAATAGTGATCCCCGAACCACCTTAACCAGTGGATGTCTATCAGG